TATCCTGTCCTGAGCAAAAACTCTGTTTTACAACTCCAGGCAAATGTAATGGAAGTAAGCCTAAAGTTCTGAGAGGAACTGTGAAGTTCAAAAGTGTTGCAATTTGAGATGATTAATACTTAGGGGGTTTTTAATGCGTTGTTTTTGAGTACTTTAGCTATTCAGATAGCCTCATGTTCTGGGGAAATCTGAATGACTTAGCTTGTCTTTGTAATTTACCTTTTTATATTATTAATGTGTCTGTCTTAAAAAGATTCTGTGTCAGTGATAACTGATCTATAATAATAATAATGTTGATTTTTAAATTTAAAGTGATCATTTTATATGCCTTTGTAAGCTGCACATATAGGTGTTTATGACCCAAAGTTGAAACATGTTTGGTCCAAATATTATTTCAAGTTTTGACTTTGTCAGAGGAACTAAGAGTTATCCTTTCTGTTTCTTGTTAGTTGAGCCAGTTTGGGTCCTAGTGAAATCTTTACAAATAGCAATAACTTATTCTTTAGGTAATTGGTAGTTTTACGGTATATGTATTTCTGATGCATGCTACTCTTTAACCTCAAGCATAAGAATGGATCTTTAAAGGCTGTGCAGCTAGTATTTGTGAATGTGTTCCATGTAAGCTCATTAGTTAAAACGTTTTGAGTGAAGAACCTTCTCTCCGATGTACCACCAGTGATGGTTTTGTCCCAGTGGTGGCCTAGCAGGCTGGGAAGTGTGATGTGCTCGTCAGAATCTTCAGCCAGTTCTAAATCACGGGATTGAGCAGGAGTCATTTGTCATGATTGCAATACTGCTTAAAAATTTTATAGCTCTTCTCATTAAGTCCTTTATATATATATTTTTAAATAAAATGCTGCTGCTTTTGAAGCTTTTTGATGTTAATGTAACATTAAAGCAGTATGATTCCTTTTGCTTTAAACATACTAGCCCATATCCTAATCAGGAGAGAAGGGTGTCTTTAAGGAAATGTTTGCTCAAGATTCTGGTATAGCTTACTCTCTGAATTGCAGTTTCAGTATCTTGCGATCTTTCTTGAATTTTGGTATCCATTAAAAATTAAATGCTTATAAGTAAATTTCCCTGAACTTCTATTTATTATTTTTTAGCTTTATTT